AAAACGCTGTCATGTCAGGAGATAAAAATGATGAAAACAAACAAATCAGGAATCACGCTTGTGTTTTATATTTGATTCTTTTCTGGAGCTTTTGTGTTTTTGTTTGTTCCTTTTAATTAAAACATCATGTCAGTGTGATTACAAGAGGCTGTTTGTATCTTTTTTCTACTTTACCTCACTGGTTTTGTGTATTTTACATGAGATACAGAGATAGCATCGCGTAGAGCAGCCTCTCTCTGATGCTTTCTGACATGCCTGGGACATGGAAATGAGCAAAGTACAAGGATAAGCTCTCTGCTCTGAAAAATATATGCGCTGGACTCCAAACAGTGATGCAATCCCAGATTGTGGATTATGTAATCATACTTGGATAATGAGGGGGAAAGACAGGCACTGGGATGGAGCACGGAGGGGGCTCGGAGGGGGCAGTGAAATCATCTTCGGTTCCACCCGGTGCACCTCGCCGCTGCTTATTAGCTTTAGCTAGATGTTTGTAGCAGGTTCCTTCTACAAAGTGCTTTTGTCAAACCCAGTAAAAGCAAACATTTTGTTGGGATCCAACTTTACGATTCCACAGCTGGGAGTGGCACATTCAAGATGTGACCCCCTGACCCTCCACTTATATATACAGTGAGCGCTGTGTGGGAGCGCGTTACAGCGTTAGTCACAGCATCGTGGGCCCCTGCGTTATATCTGATTACATAAAGTCGGTAAACACAGCGGCTCTCTTTCTATGTAGGATGCTAACCTGCAATTGCCTTTTTCAGTGGCTGTGATTCAAAAGGTTAACTTAAGACCTCCTGTGTTTACATCAGTATGGTAATGATGTCAGAAGGCTGAGTGTTACTGTACGAGAGCAGAAACTGATGCGGGATACTTTCGGTGTGCTTATCTCTCACTTTTCCTTTTTTTTTCCCCTCACAGGCAGTGAAGCTGTCTCACTGGGCTCTACTCCGAGATTCGATTTATTACACGTTTTCTGTCACTGCCCTCATTGCGGTAAGAGCTTATACTGCAGAGTCACGTGTAGATGCACAGTTCACATGATCAAGTGTGGAGTAAGTGCAGGAAGAGGCACTCGTGCAGTCACTTACTGAGCCAATTTACAGGGCAGGTCATAGTTAGCAGCTTTACAGTCACTACACATTTGCACTTTCTACCTCAGCAGTGTAGCGTTAAGTGTAGGTTTCTCTCCCACAATGCAATGCACAAAGGCAATGGAGTGGTAGGACATATGCTTACTCAAGTACTGCACAGTTTCAAGTCAATTTTTGTGCAACTTTTTGTGGGGAAATATTGATCTTTTGACTCCATTGCATCTATTTGTTACTTTAAAGATTATACAAAACAATATTAGTTGTTTGAAGTATGATGATATGTTGAAAACTAGATTAGCCTTACCTCAATGAACTACAGCAATGAAATAACACTTGCATGTTAATGCGGGAAACCAGTGGCTGACTTGTGTTTCCTGTACAGTAGAATAAACTGGAGTGTCTCTCACATTTAAAGGGAATGGGCCTCTTTTTTTCTTCTTGTCCAACATGTTTATATTAGCTAATCTGAACAATTTGCTTTTTAGATATTTTTATTTCCAACGAAAAAATAAACCGAGCAAAGAAACCAAAACAGGAGGAAAGTAGATGGGTGTCCTCAGGTGGGACGGTTTTCTTTTTAAAACAAAAAACAAGGCTCGGTCTGCAGTAACCGAGGAGGCGAATGTTGTTTCACCTGAGACGCAGAATGTGGATCAAAGAAAAAGAAAGAAAAGGTGCGACATGAGCGTTTCTGTCCAACAAGGAGCGCCAACACAAAAAAGATGTTTAAACACCGCTGAGCTCTCAGACCAGGGCGAGAAACTCACAGCAGTCGTTGAATTTTTCAAGCTAATCTGTGATTACTATTACAATTACCTATGTTACCGAATTAATGTTGTTATACAGTTTTACTTTGGCATCTTTGAGTAGCATAGACGGTGCTGTTGGAGGCAGTTTCTCCAGGACTGATGTGGCTTCAGAGACCATACATCTAAAATGCATTTAGGCCACGTGATGTCTTAAGAGACCATAACTGATGCAAATAAACCTTTATTAATCTAAGCAGAGGGAGGAGGGCATTATTGCTAATGAAATCAAGCTTGCAGCCTGTAGAGGCTCCTTTGGGATTTTTGTAGGATTTAAATGATCTCATCAAAAAAACAAACAAACAAAAAATCTGTAAATAATGACAAAAAAAACAACAATTAATAGTAAGAAGAAGACCAATAATAGATCGTAGTATTTAGTTTAAACATGTTAGCATGTGTTCTGTTTGAACACATATCTGTTCCTAACAAAGAAATTCCAGTAATTCCAATATTAAATTATACATTGGATTAGCCGATGGTTTTTCCAGTAAAGAAAAAAAAGATGAATTGAAGATCTTTGCATGAAACAATCATTATGCACACTTTACAAACAGCTTTGTGTGTCGACGCTGTGAAAGAGTCTTACTGGATGATATCCGTGACTACAGATTAGTTATTAAAAAGCTATCGATATTAAATTATACATTGGATTAGCCGATGGTTTCCAGCAACTGTGACTCTCCCGAAGGACTCTTTACCTGCATGCAACCAAAGCCTGCTCAGTGATTGGCCAATAAACAGAAACCAGAGAGACTGTGATGTCACACATCATGTCCCTTAAATGCAGGTTTGCATATTCATTTAAAAATAACTGAACTGAGCTGTTCTGCACAGATGCAGAACCTTGCATAAAAAGCATGAAAACAAAACATTTTTCATATTTTTTAGTTGTCGGTGCAGAACAACTGATATGTAACAAACATCAGTTACATAAAACTGTAACTGAGTAGCTGAAGCTGTAGAATAATAACGCCCTGCTCCACATCCTCATATTAATGATCCTATAACTTATTATTATACTTTTAAATAGTTATAATTTTATATTTACAGGACATCTTTATAAAACTTCATAAAATCAGTCTAAGAGTTGTACATATTAAATGTTTGCTGTTAATAAACCAGAGTACAGCAGCTGCAAAGAACTTATTTTTCAGTGCTTTTCTATCCTTCATAAATTTTGTTTAATATAGCCCCCGTGCTGTATGATATTTCAACTTTTTACATATCTTTTAAATGTATTATATTTGTATTTGTCAGTGTCATATTCCATTTTGTTTCTTTTGGCATTGTTTACTATTTTGGCTGTAACACTGTAACAATCTTTAATTTTTGTGGATTTGAGCTCTTAGCTGGGTCTGCCCCCTAGCGGCAGAGATGTTGAACTGCAGGAT